AAATCAAACGTATTCCTGCTGAAGATATTTTCCAGGAGATGAGTCCCCACGCCCATCAGAGCGATGGAAACGATCCAGGATCACCTGAAATGGATCGATCTGGTCCGTAAAACCTCTCTGAAAATGTCTGGGATGATGTGTGAAGGTTTCACTGCCTGAAGCAGCCTGAGCAAATCCCAAACCTTCCAGTGTTTATCCAAACTGCTCCCCCAGAGGAATTCCTCCTGATGGTTCATGTCCAAAAGTCTCACAGTAAGGGGGAATAAAGCCACCAAAATCTGGGATTCAGAACAAACACCTCAACTTCCAAATGCTGCCAGGGATCCTCCATGATTACAGCTGTTAGTGCCGGATAATTTCCTCCAGGAATTCCCCTCTCAGGGACGGGGTGGGATTGTTGGGGTTGTCCTGGGCAGAGCCAGGGGTTGGATCAACGATCCCTGTGGTTTCCCTTCCAGCTCAGGACATTCTGTGGTTCTGATCTCCACAGAGATCAGAACCACAGTGCTGCGATGCACGAAATGCAGAATTTGGGTTTGGAAGTGACAAATTATTCCATTATTCCTCGAGCAAAATCTGGGGAATTCATTACATTAGTGGGCAAAACCTCACCACCAGGAGGATCAGGCAATCCCCAAAGAGGCCCTGGGGGTGGGGACAAAGCTTTTTGCCCCAAAAACCATCAGCAACTCCATGTTGTCAGTGAGAGCAGCGGAGCAGGAGGGGAATGGCAGGACATTCCGGAAAAAGCACCAGAATTCCACATCTCCCACAAGGAATCAAAACCCAGAGAAGACAAAAACGTTTGTTTTAGGCTGACTCTGCCCTGCCTGCTTACTCTGCTCCTAAATGAACAACGAAGATGTTCCCTGGCTCTGAATTCCACAGGGGAATACAAATGTCACCGAACTTCCCCGCTTCAAATTAAAGGGAAAAAAAACACAAACTCAACCAAACCCACAACCCAAAGGTGCAATTTGATTAGGAAAAGCTCAAATCCTTGCCCAGAGCCTGGCTCTTCCTGTAACACAGCATTCTTTTTTTTTTCTTGTGCAAACCTCTCATTTACAACAGAGACATCTCCGTAATGGGATAAAACATTGAAGTTCTTTCAATAAAACTCAATAAAACTCATTGCAGACTAATTGTATAAGGAAAAAAAATGGAAATATTTAATATATAATAACAGTGTCCACTTCACTCTAGAAAGAGATGTAGCATAAAAGGGGAAGCAATTCAAGTCAATAAAACTTGATTAATTGTAGACTCAATGCATGAAAAACCCAGGAAATATTTAATATATAATAATAGTATCAACTTCACTCTAAGAAGAGGTGTAGCTTAAAAAGGGCAAGAAATTCAAGTTCTCTCAATAAAACTTGGCAGCTAATTGCAGCCTAATTGTATTAAAAAAACAGGAAATATTTAATATATAATAATAGTACTTGACCCTTGAAGGAGCTGTGGCTTAAAAAGGAGAAGAAATTCAAGTCAATAAAACTTGGCAATTAATTGTAGACTCACTGTATATAAAAAAAACAGGAAATATTTACTATATAAGAACAGTACCCAGTTCTCTTCACTCTTGAGAGAGGTGTAGCTTAAAAAGGGGAAGAAATTGAAGTTATCTCAATAAAACTACATGGCTAATTGTATAAGAAAACGCCAGGAAATATTCAATATATAATAGCTGGATCCACTCCTCTTTGCTCTAGAAAGAGGGGAAGCTTAAAAAGTGGAAGAAATTCAAGTTCTCTCAACAAAACTTGGTAACTAATTGTATAAAAAAACCTAAGAAATATTCAATATATAACAATAGTGTCCACTTCTCCTCGCTCTTGAGGGAGATGCAGCTTAAAAAGGGGGAAGAAATTCAAGTCCATAAAACTTGGTACTTAATTGCGGTCTAATTGTATAAAAAAAACCCAATAAATATTTACGATGTAATAACAGCACCCACTTGAGTCTTTAAAGAGGTGCAGCTTAAAAAGGGGAAGAAATTCCAGTCCTCTCAATAAAACTCGGTGACAAATTGCAGACCTGTCTCAATAAAGTGGAATTATTTGTAGGAACACCCCAGTTGTGTCTGTCAATGCTGCCCTCAGAACCTGCAATCCCAGCGACCTGCAGCAATCGGATCCTGCCTTAGCAAAGCTTTCCTCCTTTTTACTTCCTGTTTGTTCCCTTTTTACTTCCTATTTTTCCCCTTTTTATTTCCTATCTTATCCCTTTTTACTTCCTTTTTTCCCTTTTTTACTTCCTATTTGTTCCTTTTTTGCTTCCTATTTTTCCCCTTTTACTTCCTAATTTTCCCCCTTTTTACTCCTAATTTCCCTTCCTTTTAATTCCTATTTTTATTGCTCATTTTCTAATTTTCCCCTTTTTACTTCCTATTTTTCCCCTTTTTTCCACTTCTTATTTATTTCCTTTTTTACTTCCTAATTTCCCCCTTTTTACTTCCTAATTTTTTACCTTTTTATTTCCTATTTTGTCCCTTTTTACTTCCTTTTTTCCCCTTTTTACTTCCTAATTTCCCCCCTTTTACTTCCAATTTTTATCACTTTTTCTTTTCTAATTTTCCCCCTTTTTACTTCCTATTTTTCCCCTTTTTTCCACTTCTTATTTATTCCTTTTTTACTTCCTAATTTCCCCCTTTTTTACTTCCTAATTTTTCCATTTTTACAGCCTATTTTTTCCATTTTACTTCCTATTTTCCCCCTTTTTACCTCCTAATTTTCTCCCTTTTTATTTCCTAATTTTTTACCTTTTTACTTCCTATTTTTTCCCCTTTAACTTCCCCTTTTTACTTGGTATTTTCCCCCTTTTTACTTCCTAATTTTTTCCCTTTTTATTTCCTATTTCCCCCTTTTTACTTCCTAATTTTTCCCTTTTTACTTCCTATTTCCCCCTTTTAACTTCCTTTTTCCCCCTTTTTTACTTCCTAATTTCCCCCTTTTTTACTTCCTAATTTTTCCATTTTACATCCTATTTTTTTCCATTTTACTTCCTATTTTCCCCATTTTTGCCTCCTAATTTTCTCCCTTTTTATTTCCTAATTTTTTACCTTTTTACTTCCTATTTTTTCCCCTTTAACTTCCCCTTTTTACTTGGTATTTTCCCCCTTTTTACTTCCTAATTTTTTCCCTTTTTATTTCCTATTTCCCCCTTTTTACTTCCTAATTTTTTCCCTTTTTATTTCCTATTTCCCCCTTTTTACTTCCTAATTTTTCCCTTTTTACTTCCTATTTCCCCCTTTTAACTTCCTTTTTTCCCCTTTTTTACTTCCTAATTTCCCCCTTTTTTACTTCCTAATTTTTCCATTTTACATCCTATTTTTTCCATTTTACTTCCTATTTTCCCCATTTTTGCCTCCTAATTTTCTCCCTTTTTATTTCCTAATTTTTTACCTTTTTACTTCCTATTTTTTCCCCTTTAACTTCCCTTTTTACTTCCTAATTTTCTCCCTTTTTACTTCCTATTTTTTCCCTTTTTTTTTTTTTTTTTTTTAGAGTCAATGGACCAATACTGAACCCACTGATCCAAAAGCCCCAAATAATATTTAGGAAATGTGGTTTCAGGTGCAAAAACAACACAGCAACTGCAGTAGTGGCATTACAGCAAAAACCAGTCAAACAAGTGATTTAAAATCTAGAAAATTAAGAAAAGATCTGTTTTATTAAGTGTTTGGAGTGTGATTTGCTCCCCAAATTCCTCTCGGAAAATACTCTGATTTATGCAGATTGGCTGAAACGTCCTTGAGAATTATTTTCTTAAAATTACTTCATGCAAAGGACTGACCTCTGCAATACCTACCAGCTCCATTTGTGCAAAAAAGGACCCCAAAATATCTGATTTACCTGGGAAATCATTCACATATCAGAGGAAAAAACCCAATCCCAAAGCCACTTCCCACCTCTGGCCACAAAGCCCAGCCAGAGCATCTGAGCTGGTCCCTCAGTATCTGTATTTAAAATTCCCAGTCTGAAATAATGCAAGTGAAATTAGGCGAGAATGAGATTTAAAAACCTCTCTAAACAGGGAGGAGACTCCCACTTAACAGGGATCTCATCACAACCTACCTGCTTTTTGCAGATATCACGGGAAACCCTCCAAATTAGGCTTAAATCAGACCTTGATCAGTGGTCACCTTGTTAAGGGACAGATAAATTCAGTCCTCAGCACACCCTGCACCATTAACCAGGACAAAGATTTACAGACACACCAGAGGATATCGAACAATTCGGGATACTGAGAGCCAAAATGAGGTTTATATCTCACACTTAAAGATTTTATTAGGGCCATTATCAGCAGCTCAAAAGGGATTTTCTCACCCAGAGTCGAAACAAAACACGGACCAAAAGAAAATCCCTCCAGCGAAACGCGAAAATCGCGGCAGAATAATTCACTTTATGCAGGGATAGAGCAGAGAGGAGAAAGGGTGTGAAAAGTTCCCTCTGTCTCCTCACTGTAAAATGATAAATGGAACCTTCTGCCTCGGGGACGAACCAGCCAAAAGGGAAGAGGCCAAGGCCAGGGGTCACCGTCCCTTTGATCCATCAATTACTGGATCTTCATTTAACCATCTTCAGGACTAATAAAAATTATTTAATTTGACCTTCACTGTTCAGGGCAAAGCGAAGCCCCTAATTTAAATCTCTCCCATCACGCAGGCACGGGATGAATACGATTGTAATGCAAAGTCAGAGCTACGTTTTTGGTGCTCCACGAGAGAAAGGGAATATATTTTTAGAGTATTTCGTGCTTCTTATCGACCACAAATTAATTAATATCTACTAACTCTGCATCCCATTTCTATGCAGCTTATGGTTTCTATACAGTGGCTCCCAAATTCTTCCAAATTCCCTCCTTTCAACAACCAGAATGGATTGATAGGATCTATGACGGGGGAAAAGGGGAATTATTGTGCATTTTAATGTGGATAAAAACTCCTCCAGCTGCCAGAATAAAAAAAAAAAAACAACCCAGGTGAACAGACTTACTTGAACCGAGATGACACCTCATCAGCAGCTTTTTGGTATTGCTCTGTGGTGACTTTGTAGAACTGGGCACTCTGGGAAGGGAAGAAAACAAACTAAATTCAGATTTCAAATGATATCATTTATATGCAGCATAATATAAAGTAAATACAGCTAATTTGGGTATTTTATCCACTTAAGTTGCTCAAAAAAACCCTCAAAACCTGACCATGAAATGAAATACACACAAAATCTCAAAGATTACTTTTTAAATAGGTGTGTCCTCTTGGTTCTGGGAGGTTATGAAGGAGAGAGGGAATTCTGAAGAGACACGGAGTAAGAATCCCATATTTAGCACAAGGTGTTCCTGGAGGCTTCTTTATCAGAAAGAAAAATCAAAATACTGAATCCTTCCTTCTTTTCCATGTCCCTGTTTGTGTTACTTACACTCATCTCCCCATCTGGTTTACAGGTGCTACTTCAGCCAAACTTCACACAGTAAATTAACTAAATTTTTAACTTCCCCTTTTAGCCTTCACCTTAAAAATGCCTCTGCAGGGAGTTACTGTGATAGGCCAAACTTTCAGGTCGCTTCAATCGGTTGCTAATTTTCATTTTCATTTTAATTTTGAAAATCAGGCAAAAAATCCAGAACTCCTGAGGGAGCTGGGGGGGCTCATCCTGGAGAAAAGGAGGCTCAGGGGGGACCTTCAGGCTCCCTAAAATTCTGTGGAAGGAGGTTGGAGCCGGGGTGGGGGTCGGACTCTGCTCCCAGGGAACAGGGACAGGACAAGGGGAAACGGCCTCAAGCTGTGCCAGGGGAGGCTCAGGTGGGATATTGGGGAAATTCCTTCCTGGAAAGGGTTGTCCAGCCCTGGCACAGCTGCCCAGGGCAGGGGTGGAGTCCCCCATCCCTGGAGGGATTTCAAATCCCTGTGGATGTGGCACTTGGGGACGTGGGGCAGCGGTGGCCTTGGCAGTGCTGAGGGAACAGCAGGACTCAATGATCTTAAAAGTCTTTTCCAAGCTAAAGAATTCTCTGATCCCATATCCAAAGACAAATCACTGTAATGTTGTGATGCCTCATGTCTAAATAATACACACTTGGCATTTTTCAGGAGGTTTTTATAGCCTCGGCACAGTTGGATTTCAGCTCTAATAACTGAAGCACCTGGCTGCACAGTTGGAGGAATAAAGAAAAGTTAAAGCAGCTCAAAACTTCCCCCTAAAACCATTTTTTTTTTCTCTGACTGATGGTGGAAACCGGTCGTGGAGATGCAGAAAGGTTGGGCTGGCACTCGCAAGAACCGCTCTGGAGCTCTGAGTCATCAGGAACCCCCGGGGAGTCGTGGCCATGTGGCAACCAAACTCTCACAGTCACACCCTGTGGGATTCCATCAAACCCTTCTGAATCCTCATTTTAACAACCTACAACTTTACCTCCTGGTTTAAAGTCATCAGTGCCTCAATATTGGTTGTGAATCTTTACAATATTTAACATGTTCCAGGCTGGGAGAGCTGGGAATGTTCCCCTGGAGAAGAGAAGGGTCCAGGGAGACCTGAGAGCCCCTGGCAGGGCCTGAAGGGGTTCCAGGAGAGCTGGAGAGGGACTGGGGACAAGGGATGGAGGGACAGGACACAGGGAATGGCTTCCCAGTGCCATTTAGATGGGATATTGGGAAGGAATTGCTGGCTGGGAGGGTGGGGAGGGGCTGGACTGGATTTGCCAGAGAAGCTGTGGCTGCCCCTGGATCCCTGGACGCATCCAAGGCCAGGTTGGAGCAACCTTGGGAGAGTGGAAGGTGTCCCTGCCCATGGCAGGGGGGCATGGAATGAGATGCTCTTTAAGATCCCTTCCCATCCAAACCATTCCATAATCCTATGACAGACATGGAAGGCAAAATGCAGTCCATGGAAAATGTCATTCCAATTTTAATGCTGGCTCAAGTGACCAGCCCTATTTGTTCAAGACATTGATGTATGAAAAAGCAATAAGGCCACAACGTTTTTAGGGAAAAGCCTGTAAATGGAGAGATCACTCTTGTGTAAAAGTCAACAATGACACAGGGCCTGTGGTCACTGGGTTAGTAAACATGCCCTCAGCAACATCTATCTGTGCCAAATCGTGTTACGAGGAGGGCAGGTAAGAGGGCAAACTCCAGCAAAAACAACTGAATGACATTCCAAAAGACTCAGAACAAAACAAAACAAAAATAAATAATAAAAAAAAATAAAATAAAAGGGAAAAAAAAAACCATTTTTCTTTCCCACTTACAGATCTCATCTCCCAAGGTTTCCTCCTCGTGAATTATAATCTCGGAACGCACCGAAATCGCGGAATGAGCTGCCAGCTCCAGGCACGGCTAAAATTGCATTGCAAGGCTAATATTTTGACCACAAATTGTAACAAATTGGCCAAGACCTGCTGCAGTCAAAGGTCAGGCCCAGATCTCCGAGAGCACAGGGCTCTGCTGCTCTCCTGCCTCCCACATTCCAGCCCTAATAACTCATCCGTCCCCGGGACCGAGGTTTCCACGCGCGGAACGTGGGGGGTCGTTTATTTTTTCATAAATCATCGTTGGGCTTTGAGAAAACTGCAGATGAAATCCTGCTCACGGCAGTGACCCCCCCCTGGCGCTCAGCAATCCCAGCTGCCCAGTGACAGCCAGGTTCCCGGGATGGAGATGGAATCGATAGGTCCGGGATTAGGCGGCGACTGCGGACGGGGCGAGCGGGGACGGGTCAGGGGCTGAGATGATGAATAGTCCTCCATCACCCCCCCCCCCCGTCCCCTCCCACACCAACATCCACTATAATCTTATTTGGGCTGTGATTTATCTTTCTTTGGCCTGATCAATAAAGATGAACACAACAGTTGTAAGGATCGATTGCAATTTTTTATCATTTTCAAGCATGAGGGAGCGTTTCTGACACAAAGACAATATTCTGGGTGTACTTGCTCCACTTTTTAATTGCAGTTCAAGTGATCAACTGAGCTGCTATCTATGCCAAGAAGTTTTAATCCTGCAGGAGACCTGAGCTATCAAGGAATCATTTGTTATCTCAGATGAACTGTGCTGTGTTTCTTGGCTCAGGTGTTGCTTTGAAACTCACTCAAGTTCTACTTTAAAGATAAACTTTTATAATCCAGAGATGAAGTTTCATTTAAAGAGCCCTCCCTAATCCTCAAGATAAAAGGGCAATGGTCATTTCCCTAAATACAGAGTAAAAATGATGTTATAATATCACTTCTTCAGTCTCCAGATAAATATAAATGTATTATTCCCATCCCTGGAAGTGTCCATGGCCAGGATGGATGGGGCTTGGAGCAGCCTGGGATAGTGGAAGGTGTCCCTGCCCACGGCAGGGGGTGGGACTGGATGGGCTTTAAGGTCCCTACAACCCAAACCATCCTGTGTTTTATTCTGGACATATATTCTGCATATCCAACACACTGTTTAACTTAAAGAGGAGGAAAAAAGTTTCAGTTCTCAGTGACAAAATACCTGCAAAAGGGCTGTGCATCTTCACAAGCTTCAGCAGAAGTACCTAAAGCAGCTGTTTTCTCCCCAGAGTGGAGGATGGAGGAAAGAGAAATGCAACAGCACCTACAACATTCTGCATCAAACACCCTGTGCATGAACACACAAAACTCAGCTGTGTTTGTTACATCCCAGATATATATATATATACATATTTCATAGGTATTCCTGGGATTCTTTTAACTAAATAAGGCACTAAAGTTGGAGTAAATATTACAGCCTAATGATTTTATCTCTGTGATTGAGGTCCCTAGGCATCTGAATCATGGAATGGTCTTCACTTACTGAATTACACCTTCTCTTCTCTTCTTTAAAGTTCTCTCGGTTGCCGTGGAAGATGTTCCAAGGGCTGGATCCCTCTGCTCTGGAACCAGGCTGGGACAGCTGGGAATGTTCCCCTGGAGAAGAGAAGGCTCCAGGGAGACCTGAGAGCCCCTTGCAGGGCCTGAAGGGGCTCCAGGAGAGCTGGAGAGGGACTGGGGACAAGGGATGGAGGGACAGGACACAGGGAATGGCTTCCCAGTGCCATTTAGGGGGGATACTGGGAAGGAATTGCTGGCTGGGAGGGTGAGGAGGGGCTGGACTGGATTTCCCAGAGAAGCTGTGGCTGCCCCTGGATCCCTGGGAGTGTCCAAGGCCAGGTTGGAGCAACCTGGGCTAGTGGAAGGTGTCCCTGCCCATGGCAGGGGTGGAATGGGATGAGTTTGAAGGTCCCTTCCAACCCAACCCATTCCAGTGGTTTTGGCTCAGAGATCATTCACGTGTTGCAACCAAACGGAGTGACAAGCGGTGCCCGTTTCGGAGGCACCTTCAAAACCAGGGAACTGAGAGAAACACCCCATGGAAGAGAAGTCAAAGAGAACTTCCATTTCAATCTAAAATCTATCCAATTTGCCCTGATAAATACACAGAGCCACAGCAAATATAAATAACACCGTAATTCAGGTAGAGAAAAATGAGATCTGACCACGGGCCCAAGCCTTTTCACCTTGGCTGCCCCTGAAATAATCTCCCCCTGAACAAAAGTGAGAGAGCAGGAGCTTCTTCAGGAGCATATTATGAAGGAATAAGGGAAGAATTATTTCGCTTGACAGCTGTGATTTCAAAGGCCTGGGTAAGAAAATAAATTCCTCCAGCCCCTCAGAAGGTCAGTGTTTTGTCTGCATGGGGGACCTCAAAGCACAAAGCACACGTTTTACCCTGCGCTGAAAATCTTCAGATTTGCAGCCAGGCAAAGTTCTGAAAGATCTCGTGTCATCCAAGCCGATATAAAAGATTATCAAAAGGACCAGGAGAACTTGAGATCCCTCATTTAATTTCGCCAGAGACACATCACCTATATGCACTATTTTATTAAAAACCTGGTGAAAGGGTTTTCACTGCAGAAAATACCATTACTCACTTTGGCATTGAATTTTTTTTTTTTTTTTTTTTTTTTTTTTTTTTTTTTTTTTTTTTTTTTTTTTTTTTTTTTTTTTTTTTTTTTTTTTTTTTGCTTTCAAGCCCTTTGGGCTCTTAAATCCCTGAACAGATTCAATGTGAGGGCAACATCC